CTTGCTTCAAGGAGGTCTTGCGATCAGGTTGAAGCGATCAGCCTCGGCGGTTGCTGCGGAAATACCGTCTGAGCAAGAAAATGTGAAATTACAAAAACAGCAACCACGCATCAAGTATTTAACGGTATTTAACCAAAGTAGGGAATTTAACGTACTTAAAGTTAATAACGGTAGAAAAAACCGTAACAACTCTATCCGTAAGGGCCACCCTCCTACGTAGGACCATAAAACTGAGGGCGTTTTGGCAGAAAGGCACAATACTGTTGTAAATCGGACACGAGATGTACATGTACCGACGACTCTAAGCACCTCGAGATACCAACCCAAAAGGTAAAGATCATATTATTATTCTACTTCTCTGGCCCGCTTCAAAATGATGCTTTCATATATTTACCAATAACTTTGAAGCCTGACCCCGGCAGAAAGCGGAAAGCACACCATTGAAAACCCCCCAGTTTAGCGCACCTGAGCATAATTGTTTTGTTGCACTAGCAACAGGTACGGATGAGCGCCATGCGCTCAAACTCTCCGCAGTTTGAATCCCATGAGTTTTTTTTTTACGCAGTTCAGTCAATATTTAGCGATATTACACCTATTTTTCAGGACCATTAAATTAGACGATTAGCTTCCATAGGATGTACCCGTGCACGCAGACACGAATTAGAAGCTCTAAAATTTGGACGCAAAGAGGGTGAGGTTTATTTCCAAAATCCGGGCATAACGGTGAGCCACCAATTAAAATTAACCAATCAGAAGAGAGATAAGAATTAACCTAATATTTATGCCTTCCAATCATAAGCAGCCCTTCGGTATTGCAATGCTTGAATAGAAGAAAAATAGCCTTAATCCAATACATTCAGATCGGGCGAACGCGGTGGCTGACAACGCATCTTGATGCTCCAGCCGTCAACCTTTCCCTCTGTCTCCAACTCAGCATCGTTCTCCAAAACGTGTGGCCCTGCGTTGTCTTGCTGGACCACGACGGTCGACCATCTGCGAGCTAAATTTACAAAACTCCAATCAGAAAAATAAAAAGAAGAAATAGATGGAAAGAAAATATTAGTTAAAAAAAGAGTAAAAAAATTACCTGGCATCTTCGCTCGAATAGAAGGGAAAACCTTTTCAACAAGAAACTTGCGATAAAGGGTTCTTGTCATTGACACATTCTTAGTAATCATACTTCCTTTTGGGCGATTAATAGAGCTACGAAGCGCCTCGACCTTTTCCACGATAGGTCATATCCCAATCTTACCATCAAAATGTTGTTTTCTATGGAAATCGTAGCGAGGACGCGCCACAACTGCCAGATACATAACTTTTCCAATGTACTTTTTGTTCGGACACGTACGGTAGAGCAACTGCTCGCTAGCTGTCAAGTAGTACTTCGTTGTTCCCTTGTATAGATTAAACCACTTTTCGTCTATATGCACCGTATCGTACATGTGATGCATGCGGTACATTCGACCACCTAAACAAAACAATATTAAATTATTTTGTTAGACTAAAGCCAATAATCATTTTTATAGTAAATTAAAGTAATAGTATATACACGTTACGATACCTAATGGTAAGTCCACATGCCATAATGCTCACTGGAGACGCTTCGTCTTGTGGCCCGCTGTTAATGCCGGTTTCAATCGCGATGCAGCACGGCGTAGCGTACCATCGGCAAGATAGCGTTGTAGTGTAGTCCGGGGTATACCGGATGCTGCTGCTAATGAGAGCTGGGTTTGGCGTTGGCAAAGCGGTACAGCTTGTACCAGCTGTACTGACTCATCAAGTGCCAAGCGCCTCCCCCGCTTAAGCGGTGTCCTTGTAGAGGCACAAAAAACGTCCACCTTGCCACGAATTCCCCACATTTTCTTGACACTATTGCGGCAGAAGCCAAATTCCTCCATAGCCGCGCACACAGACCCACGGAGTAGCTTGCCGCGGACACTGCGCTCGGCAAGGAACAACACTACGCGAAGTCGTATTGCAGGTGGGATGTCCTTTTTTTCGGGGGTTCTTGGCATCGGCGCGAGTGGGATATTGGAGTGTGCAGAATAAGCGTTCACCAGTGCCAGAATTAGTGGTCGGGAGACAAGTATAAGAACTTACCGCTTTTTATCCAATAAAAACAGTTTACTCGGTTATGTGCGATTTATTAAGCGGGCCAGAGAAGTATTCAACTACCAAAATCTTGCTCTTCAACCGCCAACGTATCAACGTATCGACTTGCGTCCACTACATGCCGAACAACAGGAACTTCCTCGAGAAGTCGGTTGAACAGCACCCAATCTGGTTCAGTGTCGGATAGTCTCTGCTCAGCGTCACTTACCTCTCTTAAAGACTCAAAAAGGATAGCAACCACGTCTGAGAAGCAGCAAACTTTCCCTCGGAGAGACCTGCACTCTCATAACAGTATACGTACCATTGTGCCTGTGACAGGTACACCTTCTTTCCGCAGGGAGTTTATCCAGAGTACCAATTGCTTCTCAAATTCTGGCGACAGCGTTGCTGACATCCCGAATTCTATATCCTTGCAATGAGACCCACAACCAGTCTCACACTTATCGATAATAAGTGCGCGCTGGTTAAGCCAGTTGTATACTTGTCTTTTCTTCACTTTAACATTGTCTGCTGCGAGTGAAGGATAGAAGTAGCTGATAGTAACGTGCATTTTCTCCTTCGAGATAATTGCATCGTAGAACTCGATCACATAGAGCTTATGACGAAACGAAATCGCCACTCTTTTAAACTGCTTAGGTAGCTTGATGGTCCCTGTCGTCCGCGTCCTTCCTTGCTGCTGACCTGGAGTCCGCGCCATTACGTTTTGGGGGCGTGGAGTGCGCGGCATGGCGCTTATTTTGTAATGAATGGCCCTCCGCTGAGCATTCGCCTGATTTATACGCTACGTCTTAAGAGATCTCAAGCGATGAGCTGTAGCATACTTGGAAGCTGATTGGTCAAAGCACGGTATGTAGTAAGAGATCTCTCTGTAGTATGAGATCTCAAATGCGGTAATCGGCTCGATCAACCTCCTAAAGCGATTAAAGTACCGTCTATCCCACTTTGAATTTAGCAACGCAAAAAAATATTTGTTACACAGGTACATAATACAGTGTACACGTAGTCATCCAAATGAGCAAATGGAAGCAGGTACTCGGAGACAGTGTACACGTAGTCATCCGAGTTCTGCTTCCATTTGCTCATTTAAACTACGGTACGGGGTTCATCTATCAGCAGGACAACGCACGCATTCACGCTTCCAAGCGCACGAAAGAGTTCTTCGCGGAGCAAGACATCAACTTATGGACTGGCTATCTAAGTCTCCAGATCTTAACCCTATTGAAAATCTCTGGTCTATTATGAGCAGGAAAGGTTTATAGTAATGGTAAACAGCTTGAGAGTGTGGTTCAATTAAAAGCTGCTCTATTTGAGGCTTTGGACACTATTCCCAACGCCTTGTTAGTGTCGCTTATTGAGTCTATGCCGCGCAGATGCGTGGAAGTACTTTACAGGAAAGGCAACAAGACGCATTATTAATTTGACCATCATTCTGTTTGACTTGATTTTCGTATGGGAATGGGTGGCCGATATAACCTGACGCGGTGTCAAAAATATGCTGGCCATGTCAACAGCTGCGAAGTCCGGCTCGTTAACACAAGAGCCGTATTTCTACCAATCGAATCCCTAACATATTCAAATAGCAGTCGCTAACTTGTAAAACTGATAAAGTTACGGCCTCCGATGTGGGTGGCCGTTTTTACCTGTCGCCGAGTGTATATACTTTGAAAATCGTTTTGAAGGGTTAAGTACTTGGTAAGTAGGCAAATACTACACCTTTTTAACTTCAAAATGGCAAATTACAAGTTTGAGAGCTTTCGCAATTGTCACAATCCGAGTCCGTTTCCGGAACCGGTATCAAAAACGGCTGTGCGCCTGGTTTTAAATCTGAAAACGGAAATGGAGCTGTAAACCAAGAATTATGATTGCCATTCCGGACACAATTCCGAAACAGAATAGAAGTTACACAAAATAAAGTAACAATTTTGAGAGAGTCGACTCGACTTGATTGGAACCAGCATCGTGCTGCATCTGACTCAGTGTCTAATTCAAAGCTCCCCCTGTTAGAATGCAGCAGACCCCCCCCCCCCCTCCAGTTTTACCATATGCGCTACTAGTACTTGGTGTTCTAGCGTGCAGTGGCGGGTCAAACATTCTATGACGACAGCGGTAACTGAAGCATCAGGTGGAAAGGGTGTTCGCGCCATCTAGAACTATCAAATGGCAGCTCAGCCCAACCAAGAAGGGGGGTACTCTACTCAATGTGTCCACGCAGGAACCAGGTTCTCCTTGAGTTTCTATCGGACGTGTTGTACCGCGTAGCTTGCGCGAAGCCACGCCCTTCCTGTCGTGCTCAGGGAGGTGTTGCCTACCTCCCGTTCTTTTTGTTTCGATTCTGAATCTGAATAGGATTTCCAAACGCGAAATGAAGAAACTATTAGTCCAATTCCAAAACCTAATCTATTTCTCAAACCGGGATTCTGACAGTTGCAAAAGCTTCTATCAGAATATGTCAAAATGTATGCTCAAAAGTGTCACTAGCCAGTAAAAACGATGGTAGCTCCGACGGTGGTGAAGGTCGTGGAGATTGCAATAAGAAGCTCGGACGGGACTTAGATGCCAAGCTACCCCAACATGAAAAACCGTAAACCATTAAATCACATGGCAAGTTTGCTCCATAGGTATCGCCATTGTGGTGGGTCACTTATTGAATTGTAATTTCTCATTTTGAAGTTGAAAAGGTGTGCATGCAGTAGTTTTTTTGAGATCGAACGTTTTACTACCGGTACCTTCACGGCAAGACTAGGGGGTCGGCATCTATATTTCATGCTTGGGGTCTGGTCTAGACACTGGACCGCCATTAGTACACGAATAGCTGCAGCAACGCTCAAAATCAAGACGCTTCTGCCTCATAAGTTAACAAAACGGTAGGTTCGCTTCGACATTATGTTACGGATGTATCTAGTCTTTTTCTCTCTACTTCTTTTTGCATTCTAACACAACAGCGTCTTCTACAAAGCACCTGCCAACAGGAAAGGAATACGTTATTCCTTATTCCGAATAAATCTTAAAGTCTATGGCTAGAACTATCAAATTGTTGAGAGGTGATGGTAGAGAATAAGAAAAACCTAGTAGAAATTTCTGATCGTTGCTTTCGGGGAGTTGCATGTTGGCTGGAGCGATTGCGGCAAACAAAAAATGCAGCTATTACTGGGGGGGGGGGGGGGGGGGGCTACACGCTTATCCATAACAATATTATTGAAACCTTAGTATTTTAAACTTTTAAAGTTTCAGACCAAGTAGATATCGAGTTGGAGTGAACCCAGTGCTCGCGCGCGTGCTGGAGTTTGCAGTGTACGGCTACACCTAGGACCTGGCGCCTTTAGAGAGAAAGTTGTCACTCGATCGGCTGAAGATGTGGCTCTGGTATGCAAAAACACTTTACACTCCATGCGCGTTCTCGTAAGGAGTTTTCGAACTACAACAATGGATTTGGCTCTAGAAGACTCCGCGACACCTGAAGGCTTTGCAGCAATGTACCAAAGCGTCAAGACGGGAGGATCTTCAGTGAATGATCTTAGAATCCGATTGAAAAAAGTGACGGCGATCGGCACTTTACAATCCCACCAAGACCAGGAAAGTCGGAGAATGTGAAAGCCAATGGAACACTTTATTTGGGTTTCTACCCGGACTAAAACGACTCCACTTGACGAAGATCTCATTGTTCAGCAAACATATATGCGCGATCTTGGAGGCTGCAGCAACGCACTGTCGCCATTTAGAATTTCTGATTCTACCTCAAAATTTCAACAAGCAACACACAGTTAACAACTCAAGCGTCGACAAGGTCATGACGGCTTTGTATGCTACAATGGAGAGATGGCATTCCACTGGTGGCCTGAAGCAACTTACAGTTCCCTCGCGGAACGAGACAAATCATTATCGAGAAAGCACGCAGTTCATTGAAAATGTTACGAAATTTTGTCCGAAGATCGAGTATCTTGACGGATACCAGAAAGTTATTTCGTATGCAGATGTTCACTGCCCAGAGATGTGGACCATTTCTCTTGAAACATGGAGAGCTTTTAATGCCACATGCACGAACTTGCGGAGCTTCCACTGGTTTGTAGTACCATTTGCGGATCCATTCTTCCGTGTGTTTGGCGAGTACGTTAAGCCTCGGTTGAAATCATTATCACTATCTGCGAATGTCAACTGGAAGTACGACCAATATTTACGAGAGTGCAGTGGAAGTATCGGAACTGAGACAGCAGAGACGATAAATCCTCCGGGTTACGGTGTCTCGGCTAGTGAAGCTCGCGCGGTATTGAAGGTGTGTCCAGCACTAACGAGTCTTTCGATCGACATCGACTGTATCCAGAACAATAACCTGCAAACGCAATACATTAGCACGGCTGTGTATGGAGACAAGTTCTGGGAGACAGCGGCTGAGTATTGTCCCCTTCTGGAATCAGTCGACATGACGGACGCCTCCATCTACCAGAACTTTAACATTCAGTGTGTAAACGACCTCTCTGATCGGACTCTGACTGCTCTTGCGAAACTCAAGTATCTTACGTCTGTTGAGTTCTGTGCTGCGCGTTTGACTGGCAATGACATCTTCGAGTGGATCAGACAAGCGACCAAGTTTGTGGGCTCTGTTGGACCCAAACGGATGCTTGGTGTCCAGATTGGTGGGCATCAACGTGCTATTCAACGTACTAGACTTGCGCCACCACGCTTTTATGCTGAAATTGTGAATCTTCTGAGGCTTCTGTCTGAGATTGACGAGGAATCGCTTGGAGCTGCTTCATGTCGTACAAAGCCACTTATCTACGTCTCGAATCCGTATGAGTCCAAAGTGATGCGTATGTGGAGTGAGCCGTAAATGCGCGATCAACTCAGACCAATGCTGGATGCTGTGAAGGAGAAACACCCTTCGTTAAGTGTCAACGTCTCGCTGTTTGGACGTGAAGGAGACATATTCAACTGGATCGATATGCTCACTTCAAACTGGCGTGTAGAAGAGAGTAGTCGCAAAAATGAGCTCTTCTTCGACTACGTAGAGGAGCAGACTGTTCACGACACCTATTTTGATCCACTCACGTATGAAATCGTAAGCAAAAACGAGGGCGACGATGAAGGTGAGGTGGAAGAAAGCGATAACGAATTGGTGGTGAGGGGCTTGCTGCTCTTTAGAGCGATGGCACGATTGATGAACGGAGTTCGTGAGGGCGATTAAGTTAGGTATCCAATGGATGTCTAACTCAGTCTACTATCCATGCATGCATACGACGCGTACTACTACTATTACTACTACTACTACTACTACTATTATATCCGATTTCATTTACTGGCAATGATATGATTGACTGGGTTTAATGAAATATTTAAAGTGAACTACGAAAGTAAATTACAAATGTATACAGTGAGAAAACGCTTGATAGTAAGCATGGTTAATCTCTATTGCTTTTTATGCTATCATTGTTACAACAAACACTCGAGCCATTTTACAGGCATCTTCGCCTTACTGAACCATCCATCTCCATGTTTGAACTGCATATCGTAATGATTCAGCTTTGTCCTGTAAAATCGATCCTTCCAGGTTCTGCCAAACTTTGACTCTGGAAATCCGACTGAACAACTCTGAAATTCAACCATGCCGTCATTTTTCCACGAGTGATGTTGTCCAAGCATTCCAAGTGCCCATAGTGTCGTCTGGTCAGATGATCGAAGTCCCCAAAAACTCGAGCTGCACATCAACGCAGACACGTTGGATTGGAACGCCTTTTGTGCTGCTGCGAAGGCCTTATTGATCGCTGGCGTGCTGTAGTTCTCGCCCTCGAATGGCATAGATTTTAACGCTGTTGTGGGTGGACATCGTCCATTATCGTTTGCCATTTTTTCCAAGATAAAGTTGGTTTTTCCAGCACAAGATTCTTGGATAAAGTCGGACGCTTTACTCCCTTTCATTGGTGCTGCAATACCCACCCACGTCGTGCTAGAATCCAGACTGCATTTGCCCGATGCGATCGCTCCAGCCAACATGAGATTCCCCATCGAATGTGAGACGATGATAGTGTCCGAAATAACGGTGTCTTTGCTAGTTTTACTGACAGCAAGAGCGCGATCGCAAACCTTATACTGTTGGGTATTGTTTGTCCACGTGTTGTTTATTGTATCGAGTACCGCGTACTTCACTGTTGTGCAACATGGCGTGTGGCCAGTTATGTTTCCCCAATAACTCAATGAGTCTTGATTTTCGGGTAATTCGCGAGGAACGCCCATACCGTGAATAAAGATGCACGGTCTTGGCGTTGATTTACACGGGCACGTAGAATCATCTCCCCACGTAAAATCAAACTCGGCTTTAAGTCTCCTCGAACCCCCAGTCGATACAGGTTTACCTGTCAACACCGATTTTCCAGTCGAGGTTACTATACTTGGTGACATTGAATTCACACAACCAGGTAACTCATCGTTCATTACCATAGGTGACGAGATACTCAGTCGCGTTTCGACGTATTCTACTGTGATATCCATGTCACTACCGTACATCGTAAATTCCGACAGTCCAGACGCGCATAGTGCGAAGTCGATATCGTTCACGACAATTTTAAACAGGTTCTCACTCGAGCATACCACACCACTGGGACCACGTGAAATCGGTATCGCTAGGTTAATCGCATCCACAATAGTGTTGATCGACGGGAGATGATCGAGTTCTGGGTCCAGGCACTCGATTGTAGCGGGAGCAGTGGAGTTGTTCAGATCGTTGCTAGAGTAGTACGCGGTGCCGTTGACAAACGTATAGTTGTGGACGGTCGTGTCTTCCGTGAACGTAGCGAAGGTGTCGTATAGGACGTGTGATTCATCAACCGATACAACAGGATCAGCAACCATTGAGAACATCGATTGACCGTTTACTTTCATGGAGCTTCGCTTGAGCCTGAAGTTAAATCGTAGAGACGGCCATTGTGTTGTTGTATTCTGCTGGAAATCGAACTGCTGTTGAGTCTGAAAATCGCCGTTGCCTCTGGTACCGACAACCACTTGGAGTATTAGCGCTACAGCAAATGATACAACCAGAAGTGGTGAACGCATCTCGTGTGCCAACAGCGAAAGAACGTGAAATGCGGTCGACACATCACCGGTGGTTGTTGAGTGCTTGTTTCAGGCTCCCAATGTTTATCCTCAGCCCAAACAGTGCCGGTGCAGTGCAAATCGACCGACTATTTTGCATGCACCCGTATGTTGATTGGTTGCTTGGACTGATTAAAAAAAAAAACAAATCATAACATTGACCTTAAATAATAATGGTTTGAATTATTTCGAATCGCGCTTCGAATCAGAACAAAGGTTTGTTGGAATAAGTTTGATATGTTCGGCAGGCGTGTGCTGAATGCAGCAATGTCAATACTATACTGTTTAATGTGCGCAAACGAACGTACGATATTTATAACATGTCACTTTTGCAGTGAACGTTTGTAATCCCGCCAGAGATGAGAACAGCCACGATTGATGAGCAACGACATCCGGCTATACATGTATACACGGCTCTTGAACTGAGATAATGGCCGGTGTCACCACTTGCCTCAGACTTAGCTTCTTCTTTAAAAGGAGCTCTTTTACTGCTATTGTTAGGTATATATAAAATACATTAAAACGCACAGTAATAACAGAAAAAGCTAGCTCGTATATTCTTCTATTCGGATAATGCAGATGTGTAAACTTGCAAACACAGTTCTTATTGGAAAGATGCTATATTCGAAATGTTACTCATGCAAATTAAGTTCTTCTGCTTCTTCAGTATCATCTTCACTTACTAGCTCTGCATACGAAGTGGGCGGAAGACAGCACAATTACGCACCATAACATGACGTTTTGCTCATAGTAAACATCATAGTAAGCGAATGAACGGCTACTTAAGTCCAATTCTGATATCATTTTATCAGCTCTGTTAAAGAGCCCCAACGTTTATCAATGATCCTACTATTAACCTAGGAAAACAAAGCAATGATATGACTTGAGTGGTAATTCCAATGCAACCCAAGTGATACGAAGTGAATGCAAACAAGCACAGTACTGACAGATATACCGACAAATAGGATTTGTTATAGTGGCGCGAAGTTGATATAAGAGTTCATTCAATACTGAGACAGCTACATGTAGATTGGCTGGCATAATACTATAGTAATGCTGCACCAGCGTCACTCCAAGATGCGATCAGTAACAGCGTTAGTCGTTTGTTAACGACTAAACAAAAAGACTATCGACCCATTAGGTCCTGTTAAACAAAGCCGTCTGGTTATAGTAGACACTCGAACCACTTGACTGGCATCTTTGCCTTATTCCAGAACGCGTCTCCAGCTCGAAACTGCATGTCGTAGTGATTCAACTTTGTCCGATAGAAGCGGCTTTTATATGTATCTCCAAACTTCGCCAGGTCAAGCCCCTTAGAACAGCTATGAAACTCCACCGTACCATCATTTTTCTTGGATTTGTGCGGAATCATCTCGCCCAGTATCCAAAAACTCGCTTGATACGACGATAGAATTCCAGAATAGCTCTCGCTGCACATGACCGCTGACACGTTTGTCCGATAGACTTCTTGAACAACCTTGTACGCCTTGTTAAGTCTCGGTGAGCTGTAAGATCCGTTAAAGTACGCCAGTGATTTCGTCGCTTTTTGTACCGGACATTGATCTTTAAACTGGGCAAGCTTTTCAGCTATCAGATTGGTATCTCCCGCACACACTTCCTGGGCGTAATCTGGCGCCATACTTCCGAGCATTGGTGCAGCTGTACTCACCCAAGTTGAGCTCGGGTCCAGCTTACACCTCCCGCTAGCAATAGCGCCAGCGAGCATGAGGGCTCCCATGGAGTGAGTGACGACAATCGTATCCTTAATAACGTGCTTCGTGCTGCTGTTGCTCACTGCCAGAGCGCGATCGCACACTTGTTGCTGTTGAGTACCGTTGAGCCATGTGTAGTTCACTGTATTCAGGTGTGCGAACTTGATAGATGTACAACACGGAGCATGATCTTGGATAATTTTCCCCCAGTACGGCAACGAGTCCTCAAGGACAGGAGATTCAGCTTTCACTCCAAGACCATGGATGAAGATACACGGACGTGGCGTCGACTTGCATGAACACGAGTCATCGTCATCACTGTCATCGTCATCACTGTCATCGTCAGACCAAATAGACAGCTCAGGTTGTAAGTTCCGTAATTCCTCCATAGCTAACTGAGTTCCAGTAAGTAGAGCCTTTCCAATGGACGATACCGAGCTCGATATCTCCTCAGCTTCACAGCCTTCACTCTTTGGAGCCACGATTTTCACTCGATGTTTGCGATAGCTCACGGTAATATCCATCTCACTTCCATACATCTTGAAACCGTTGTTTAGTGCACATAAATTGAAATTGAATCCGTTCGCCGTCACTTTGAACAGACTGCCATCGCACTTGAAGGGATTATTGGCATTCGACAAGGGCGTGGCTTCGTTTAGTGCTGAAACGATAGCGTTGACTGGAGGGAACTCGTTCATATCGGACGGTAGACATTGGGTCGTACTGGTATCGGAGGCTTCTTCTGTCGTTCGTAAGTACGAGACACCGTCCACTTGTGTGTAGTTGTACACTGAGGTGTCGTCTTTAAACTTTCCAAAGACGTCGTAGAGGACGCTGGATCCATCGGTAGATACCACTGGGTTGGCGAATAAGGAGAAGTCTGTATGTCCGAAGATGCCCACGCAGTTACGCTTTACCTTGAAATGGAAACGCAGCGAGGGCCAGTCCGAAGACGCTTTATCGCGAAGATACCGCTGCTGAAGACCGGAGCTCAGCGCAACAGCCCCCGGTTGCGTTGCGAGTACTAGGAGAGTCGTGAAGACTCCTGACAAGTACAAAAGCACAGACTGCATGGCGTAGCAATGGCACACGACGAGTTTGACGAAAATCAAGAAATGGTCTCTCTCTTGCAAACAACTGGTGAAAGCCGTGGAAGGTACGGATCACGGCACGGTTTTCACTTTGTGCGAATCAAAATACAACTGCCGTCGATTTGGTTGAAAGTCTTGTCTCTCTGTGATCCTGACCGTGATCAGCAATTTACAATGTGAACCTCGAAAGCCAACAATGGAGAAACGTAGAGCTTTCTTGTGTGACACAAGCTGCGCCTCTGTTGCAATCTGATCCATTCGAATGTAAACCCTAAACTCTAGATGAACAAACCGATCAGCCCACACTCTAGGTGTTATGCAAGGATTTGCACAAGCCATCTTGTTTAGTATTTTTTGTCAATGAACAAATGGGTATGAAATGAATAAATAGGTATGTAGGATAGAGTGTAATACATGTAATTTGATGCCACACACCATAAAATTGACCACTAAAGCTATCAAATGATGTCGTAAGAAATCGAACGATGCGAGCCCACCGCTACGCGATTAGACAAAAATGCTTTTCAGCTGAAGGTATGTATTATTTGCAGAAGGACAGAAACTGTGAGCCAACAGATATTCATGCTGATACAGCAGCCATCCCCAGTGAGCAGGATGGAGGTGTTTGCCTGCGTACTAGTGCAAAGGCAGGCATGGTACAACGGTCGGTTGGTCGTTAATCGAGCGACGGATTCTGGTATCAACCTAACTAAAGCTTTTATCAGTTTCACCTTCCAAACTGCTGTGCTCTAAAATTCTGTTAATGCATACAGAGAGCGTTAAAATGACAATTCCAGTATCTTTGATAAACATGTACTGTATAAGTACCATAAATATGGTAATCATGATCATGGCTGGTTTCTTGGAACAGAGTGACTACTAGTACAATATGACTTACTTGGCATTTGTATTTTTGTGCTAAACCCTTGCGCTTATGCCCGAAAACGGCTGGAGGGGGTGATTGCAGACACGCTCGGCAACCCGAGTCTAATACATTCAATTTTGCCTGTGGTTTACTGTTAAGATCTGTGTGCAGAGCACGCGGGCTTAAACTCAGGCCCAAGAATGGCTAAATCCCGCTGGGTTGAAGGTTGGTGCGGGTTTAGACGGCGTACCGACTTCTCCAATTTTGGAGAGTTGTAGGCCCATGACATCCGTTTTTCATGTTGTAGCAATATCCTTTGCCTTTCTTGGAACGAAATATAGATTTTACGTGTGGAATTGTTACGGACGCAAAAGAGGCTGTGAACAGGACTGAGATTTGAAGGACATGTCGCCAGCATCAGTCAATTGTCAGTTTTCCACTGAAATCCGTTACCAGAAAACTAAATGTACTGTAATAGTATATTTCACAAAGAAAATCAAAGGGTACCTTTTAAAATCACTGTTTTTTTTTTTTTTACCGTATTTTTGTAATGCAGGAAAAATTGAACAACTTGGGTGGAATTGAGGGAACACCCATAGTGTTGAACTCGGTTATACCACCTTACTCTACACCTTTTAACCTTCAAAATGGCAAAAAGGAAATTCAATGCTGCAAAATGTAACATCAAAACTGCAATCACGCTAAAACGAATAATTTGAAGCCAATCGAATTTGACAGAAAATAAAGTTTTGCATTACTTTCGAGATACTAATAAATTGCGCTGGAGTTCCGAAAGGCGGGACCGGTTCGCGCCAAAAGCAGTGGACAGTAGCAAGCAGTGGACAGTAGCGCGAGCGATGCTATGCATCGATTACTTCTTAATCTACTTTCTACCCCTAACAACATTTTTAAGATGCTCTACGACGACGCCACTGTGCTCCGGATCATTCGTGCTGCTCGTGATGAGCTAAACTGGCGTGAGATTGCCACCACCAACGGCGTCAAGCTGCCCACAGCCTATAGCTGGGTCGCTGCGGCACATGCAGCAGAAGATTGGGAGAACCCTCCACGGCTACTCCGCGGCGGACGCCGCAACACCAAGATCCAAGATGTCCACATCGACTATCTCCTGGGTCTCTTAGATGATAATTGTTACCTTACGCTAGTCGAAATGGTCGAGGCGCTCGAGGCGCGTTTCGGTGTTCGAGTGACTCATCAGACTGTGAAGCGCCACGTGGATGCGCGTATGTACACCATGAAACAAACTCACCGAGACAATAACTACCGGAACCTTCCACACAACAAGCAACTTCGACAAGACTACGTCATTAAACTTCTGAGCTACAAGTCACAAGGTAAGAAGATATTTTATGTAGACGAAACTAACTTTAATTTGTGGTGTTCACGTCGACGAGGGCGAAGCCTGAAAGGAAAGCGCGCAGTCGATCGCAACACTGCAAGTAAGGGGTCCAATATCCACGTTATCGCCTGCATATCAGATGATGGAATAGCGTACGTGGAAAACCGTTTCGGGTCCTTCACAGCGGACCGCTGCAACGACTTTATTCGCCGTCTTCTGACACACGTTGAGCACTCTACGCCTCTCGAAGACGTGGTGCTTGTGGCCGATAACGCCCCGTGTCACGCTCGAATAGAAGCGGTCTTCAAAGAAGACAGGTTCTCCTCAGCAACGTTACTGAGGTTGGGTCCATATTCACCCATGTTAAACCCCATAGAGAACTGTTTTTCGGTGTTCAAGTCAATGGTGAAGCGGTTTCTAGCCCGCCACCGCCAAGCGATCCTACAAGTGCCTCCTCATCGTACCATCAAAGAGCACCGGGAGGAGTACTTAATGATGGCTGCAGACTTGCTCGTCCACGAGGCCATAACACCGGAGTTGTGTCGCAAGTGCGCTGCACACAGTCAAGTTCCATGCTGCGGCGATTCAACTGCAAGACATGCCGGTGGGTCAGTGAGGATATTAATTTATGCGTTTTTTCCATTACAATAAATGCAGTTTTGACTTTACATTTTGCAGCATTGAATTTCCTTTTTGCCATTTTGAAGGTTAAAAGGTGTAGTTCTTCTTTAGGCATTTTCAACGACTCCATTGTGGCAATATGTGTGACACGCTAATATAATTTAGAATTTTAAGTTTTTTAGAGCCATTGAGGGCTCATCTTCAGTTGCAGGCAGAGGACGGATGCCTAGCATTCAAATCCTCGAAAGAGAGAATGCAGAGAAAACAAATTCGTGTAGTTTGGTCAACTTAAAGGCTTTAAAGCATGCTTGTGCGCATTGAAACTCGCAACGTCAGTTATGCCTGCTATCGGAGTTCAAGGGGTATTTACATCGAGTAGTCAGCGCTTGCAAGCCATATCACTTATTAGTAATTTATCAAATTTCCAAAGGGGCCAAAACGCCCCCAAGCAATTCAATAATCGCTCGGCGGGCTTGTTAGCCAAGGCCAAGCCACCAGTACTCGAGCCCACAGGTCCTCAATAAACTCAGCTGCTGTTGGTTAAACCAGATGAGTTGTCAGTACCATATTTTTTTGGTAAGATTGGAAATGTTTAATACTTACCCATTCGTGGCCATGAGGGCATTTTGCCCTATTTGGAGGTGTATCCTCGAGTACCACTCGTGTCGCCCATGAAAGTGAACAAAGTGCCCCCTTTGACGGTCTTATGACTTTACCTTCTATACTATAGTATAGCCAGGTCAAAAGTACCCGTTCATGAAAGGGTTAAGTAAGTTCATCCCCCGTCGCAAGAAATATGACTGTCCATTTCTACGGATAGTTTACGTACTTTGCACTATGGCTGTTCCCGCGATCAGTCAAAATACTATGAATACATGCAGCTTAGTTAAAAATGTAAAATTGCTATTTAAGGGCATATATTAGAAATTTACGAGCGGTGTTGACAATTGTAGCGATGACCGCGCATCAGGCTTGAGAAGCAGTGTTGATACGGCTATACAAGACTGATAAAATCATTTTGATACATCAACATGAACACGTTGATACAAAGACTAGGGCTGGGGCTGGGACAGCATCGGGACACGAAAGCATTGTTGGCAAGAACGTTGAAAGCTTTCCTCAGCCATTTACCGATCAAACCGCCTGGAGATTTGGGTGAAATCACGAAAAGGATAAGAAGCTTTTGGAATACCAAAGTCTAAAGTAAACATTTTTCGCTGCATCAACTGACATGTAAATCCACAGCTTAGCATCTTTCCACTGGTTAACTAACGGAGCCAGCCCACGTGGATGGAAACGTTTCTAGGACGATTCCAACTGCGTGTTGTATTCGCATATTTTCTGAATAAGCAGTAGAATAAGCCATGATGTCCGTAACGAGCACCGGGTACAGGCAGCGTTTGCCGAGCCGCCCGCAGTTAAAGCGGCTATCGCGCTGCTTCAAGCGCCAGTTCTTCCATAGCAGCATGCCCATGTTTCTCCACGTACCTGCCATCCCTTCAACTGAGCATTGGTGCGTGCCTAAGTCGTACTGCGCACAAAGAAGCTCTGAAATTTCGGGGATGGGATGTTAACAAAAACTTTAAAACTGTCCAAATATGGCAAGTGAGTTGTGTCACGTGTTCTACTGAACGACTTGTTGCTGAGCCTTATTTGCGAGGAATGATGGAAATTGAAGACTGAGCATTAAGGTGGCTACTACGACTACTACTTGCAAATCCAACTTGCTAAAAAAAAAAAAACTCAACGGCGCATGCGATGCTGGTGGAACCTTGTCGAGGACGATGGGCTTCAGCGAGCTGTTGCCGTTGGGATTGCGCGTCGTTGCCGTTGAGTTCGGTCGACTGGTGTCGTCCGAGAGCTTCACACTGGTTTCACCCGTGACACTTCCTCCTTTAGACGAGCGTTAGCTCGGGTGGGCGGCAAGCCGTCGACGTAGTGACGAACTGTGACGGGGTCACACAGCACCTTGTGCAGAGGAAGTTTATTTCCTCTAGAGTATACAAACTCTAAGTGAATGACCGTTCACGTGTCTCTGGTCTGAAGGGGACGAAGTACTCACTTGAGGGTACGATTAAGACTGATTTTTATTTATAGGTAAACTTAGCTCA